TCCCTCAAGTTAGGGCTCAGGCAGGAAATTTGGGGCTTCTTCCTCTATGCCTTTGTGAAAGTTGTTCCTTTATCTAGCAAGCAACATCAGATTGTTACTCCTAGCAAAACATCTGCCCCGTCTTCATTTAGTGCTCCCTGGCTGGAGAGGGGAGAACTGCAGGTGCCAGGCTTTAGTAGTTTCCCACTTATGGTGCGCCCAGTAACAAAACTCCTTTAACAAGACCAAATCCTACTTTTCTTCATAAAAAGTCAAGAAAACGTGCTCAATGTATGGAAAGTTACCTACAAAAATTAGTTGCATTTTTAAAAAGAAAAACTGAGCAAAAAAATCTGCCACCTTTATAATAGTGAATTTCTATTAGCTACAATTGAGTTACCTTGGCAAAAGCACAAAGCAGTAAAAGGTAGATTATTTAAGGGAATTTATGTGAAAACCTCAGAAATATCGAGAAAAGAAAAAGATACCTTTAGTCCAGAATCCCCAGGCAATCCTTGATATCCCTAAAACACAGAGAGCACAGATAATTAAATTCACTGTATCATACCAGTGTTGATTTTCCACTGGCATTTGAAAGTAATAGGCTGTTTTATATGTATATATATGAATATACACATTATATGTATATAATATGCACATGTATGCATGCATATAAATATATATATATATATATACACACACACACACACCACATATATGTGTGTGTACATATATTTATATAAAATACTATTAATAAGAATCCACTTAAAGTTTTATCTTGCCTCAGTCACGGAAACTTGTGAAAAAGAGTAAAATTTTCAGTGCACTGCAACTGAGGGGAATCAATCTTAGCACATCAGAACTCTTGAAGTATGTTTCTAGTAAATCAGATGTAGGACAGGGGCCAGCAACTTGTCTGTAATGATATGACAAACTGTACTTTTCCTTCCTGAACAAGAGATTAAACATGCTAACAAGAACTTAAGTGTTGCCCAGGAGACATCATTTTGTAGACGAGGAATATACCATTTGAGCAACATCTCACTCCTGCGTGAGCCCCGGCTACCAGCTCTGCTGAGTTCTGACTCCTGCAGGAGCCTGGAGCTGATGCCCCTCTTGGCTCCCAGCTGCGATCCCAGAGTGTGCCCCCTCCTGTTAGAGATCTGCCACTTCACTGGCCCTCAGCTGTGTCTGCCGTTTGCTTCAGTAACAAGGAAATGCAGTTCCCTTGCCTCAGATGTGAATTTTCGTAAGCACTGAGGCATCCTAGAAACACTATAAGCTAACTACAAAGTGTAAAACATTACAAGTATGTTGATAGTGTCAGTTGTCCCCTAGTTTTCTTATGCTGAGTGACTCTTAGACTGAAGGGACAGCATCCTATCAAGCACCATCAGCGCACAGGACTCGCGGACCCTCCTGCTTACGGTTTCTGCACTACTCCTAGCAAAGGTTTGGGTTATTTGCAGTGTTAACCACTTTTGGCCTAGGTGCATGTTCAGTAGGATGCTTCTGTAGGAAAAAATAATTGCAAATGGCCCAGTCAGGTGGTTTCGTTCACTGTTAACTATTTACAGAGGATAACAATTCTTATTCTTTTTAATACAAAAGACAGGGTCATGGTTCATTTGGCCAGTGCTGGATCCAAAATCTCTCTCTCTCTCTCTCTCTCTCTCTCTCTCCATTAAGTGACTTTTCGGGGTCAAGATGTTAATGCTTCTGTCAATGTGTGGTTTGAGCGTCTCTAGATTGTCTTCTCATTCCTGTACATACCTCGCACACAGTTTCACCAACCAGTGCCACAGTCTCTGGCTCTTCCCAAGGAAATCACCGAGGCCAAACAGTTCGCTTCTCATCAGGACCTTGTGAATGACTTGTTGAATCAGCATTACTTGTGTTTCAGCACTTTGTCCAAAGGAGCTTAATGATCCCTTTAGATGCTTTCTGAATAAAGGACAGCTTTTGCAGCCACCAGCTCCCATAAATTATAGAAATGTAAAACTAGGAGGCTTGCTATGTGATTTGCCTGGTGTTTCTGTCAAAACCTCATATAATCCTGCTTCTGAAAGCATCAAGCTCCATTTAAAATCTGCTGAGGCCTCCCAGATCCTGTAGCACTATCAGAAATACATTCTAGGACCAGTATGAACTAGCTTCATCAACATGCTAAATTATGGCTCTTGGCCTTGGGACCTTATAGTCTAAGGTGCTTAGACCCACAACAATCCACACTGATTTAAGCAACACAGTGTTTGGGCTCAGACATGTATTTAAATAGAACAGCTAACTGAACGAGGACCTCAGTTAGTCATAATGAGTGACAATTAGAAATCAATATCAGTAGTCATGCAGAAGGGTGCATAACAATTTTCTTATGGTTCTTCTTTCAGGTTTACCTTTATTCCTTTTCTCCCAGGTAGACCATATGCAGAAGCACCATCTTGTCCCTGTAAAGAGATCATTTTTATTTAAATGTTTGCATTTATACTCCTTTTGTTTCTATCTGCACCTTAGTTTACTGACTGGGTGTTAATTCAAGTGCCTTGAAGTGCAGAAATTATGAAGCACAGGAAGTGTATATAAGGGAAGAGGGCTTCTACTCCATTTCACCCCACGCATATGCACACAGTGCTCCTGAAGCAGCCTAGCGGGAACCAAAATCTCTGCAGCCTTTGGGAAGTAGGATCTTAAAAGTGAACACAAAGGTTGATGTTGGTCCTGGTTCAAGCTGCAAAGCCAGGAGGGTATGAAAAGAGGGAATACGTGACATTGTCTTCAAAGCCAGCCCGGCCTAACCTAAGGGAAGGTGTTCTACATGGGGGAAAACCCAAGTTTACAAAAAAACTTCCTGAGATCATTAACTACACTGAAAATGCTACTGCACTCTAACTCTCTAACTGCACCTCAAAGCAAATCTTCAGAAAATCTAACCCTAAAAGAAACTTTTAATATTATTACTAAAAATCAGTCAAGCTGCTCTCTTCACACACAGCACCATTAGAACCAAGCTCCCAAGTACCAGAAACAGGTTTCAAACTCAAAACCTGAAGCATCTGACCATACTTTATTTGCTAATTCCAATGATACATCTTCCCAATACTATTATTAGAAACAATATTATTACAATAGAATGTACCAAAGGCTTGGGGTCATATGTGCACTTGTAATTTACACCTGTATTCATTCAGAATAACTCCCAATACAATTGTTAGGAGTATCTCCAAATTTTTATGCAAATACAAACAGCAGCAAAAAGTAGCTTAAAATCTGTGTTCTCTGAAACGGTTACACTTAATATCAGATCTTCATGGATCATCACACTGAAACTCTTTTTGAGTTACATGCCTTTTACCACAGGTCAGGCTTCCTGCGTTAAAATCTGGGGTACCCAAAAATAGCAGTGTAAGGAAAATAGAAGTACAGACCTGCCTTCCACGTGAACCATATTGACCTCTTTTTCCTTTTGGTCCTAGATTACCAGGTTGTCCCTGTAAAAAAGAAAAAAAAAAAAAAAAAAGAATAGACTAAAACATTCCCACACTCATTTGTGATGCTCGGTTAAAGGCATATTGTGGATTTCAAAGTGTAGTGCTGTAAGGGAAAACTGAAATGCTACATTGAACATAAAACATAAGGTCTCTCTTCCACTTTCTAAATACAGGCAGCCAGCCAGATTATTCAAAGAGAATATGATTTCCAAAGCAAGGAGCAAAACATTTCTAGTGTCAGATCGAACAACTCTCTATAAAACATTTAAAAATCATGAGTATTAAAGGGACCAAATCACCAGCCCCAGAAAGTCTGCATGAAGTCTCACAATCCATTCTCAAAAGGCATGGAAGAATTTCCCTTATACTGGGGAACAGCTGTGCGCCGGTAGCAATTATAACCCCCCCCGCCCTCACCCACAAATGCAAAGGAACTTGACTAATCCGAAAGAAGGTACAACATCACTATGACTTTCAGGCTGTTCTCTTATTATTTATGAAATCAGATAAGCCGCCCCCAGGACTGCAGGCAAAAAGTACCTCAAACCCAACTTTTACGTTAAAATTCATTTTGCATTTATCCTGTCTTTAAGTATGCAAACAGTAGACCAAGTGATCCGGCCCAGAACTTTTTTGTATATCCTTAAAGAGACAGTTATATCTATGCCTCTGAAAATTATACTTGTTTACTTTTAGGATGTCCTGCCCATCCTAAAATGCATAAAGCAAGCATTTCAAATATCTCACACTTTCGTCCTAAACCTCTTGCTCTTAATTTTTTCTAGATATTTTGTCTTCTTGAATCTCAGCTTATACATTATCATGATTCCGCAAAGTCTGAGTTACAAGGGAACACTGAAATTCTGTTAGAATACTTTTATTGGAATCAATTCTTCTGATGTTTGGTATGTGAAAGTTCCCCCTCCCCCCCGCCATATACTCCTACCTGTTAATAACTATTGTAACCTGGCACAGAGCTTAAAATTTCTTTCAGGAAGAGTAAATCAAGTAAACATGAATTATGAGGTCCTAATGGAAGAACTATCACACAATGCAGCTCAACATGCAAATGTTACCAACCTTCCAAGGCTCCCAGCAGTCACTTATAATTTTACAGAATCAACACACTATCCAGAGCGTAAAAGTTACATCTACAGGTTTAAGCAGAGAATAGATGAGACAAAGTCAATTTGCAAGTCTGCTTCCCTGGACCTCCTACTCCACACGCTGACAGGAAGAGCGAGTACACATTTTCAGAGGATGTGTTATGAGCCTTCTGATGCACTATACTGCAAATCATTCACACTTTTAGCAAACTCCTTATCTAGATGTTGCAAGAGAATAAAAATGAAGTAAAACAAAATACTTGATGTTCTTCTAGAGCAATGCCAAATACAAAAGGGAACATGAAAGCACTAACTGTTCTCAGGCTTTTCACCTAAGAGAAAGTCTAGATCTAAAAAGCTCACCTTCATGAAGAGCTCTGTGCAGCTGTGACCAGAGCCATTACTGACATGCATGCTGTGATGGTTGTGCTTGCTTGTTTTTTCCCAAAGGAATTTAAGTACCATACAAGCTGCAATCCAAATGCTTCATTAGAAACATGTTAAAGCTTGCTTAAACTTCAACACGTAATTGCTACTAAGATCAAGAGATTGGTCCTGCAGCCATCCCCTGGATCTTTGCCTGGGAAGAGTTATGATCAAGTTCCAAAGGAGGATTTATCAAGGACAGAATAGGTAAGCAGTTTTTAAAATCTACAACATTAAGGGGTGGGGGGGAGAAACAAACAAACAAACAAAATTAATCCAGTTGTTTAACTAAGGGGACCTTACTTTATTTCCTGTTTCCCCAGGAATCCCAGGACTCCCTGCAGGACCCACAGCTCCCGGTTCACTCTGAAATAAGCAAAAGGAGACAAAAGTTACGATATAAACAAAAGAAAACAGAGAAAACGGATTCTTTCCCAGGCTGGACTTCCACTTTTACAAAAATTGACTGATGACACAAACTCTGTAGATTATACAACCACTACCTAACCACACACACCCCCCTGCCCCCGGCAGTCCCACAAAGGATACGAGCCAACAGGGTTTCAGAAAAAGGCTGATCTTTCAGTTAACAATAATTCCATATGATCAGCTTCTACCTCCACTTCAAGCTTCCTGTTTAATTCTGAGTTTCATCTGCAGGTCGCAGCAGAACAGAATGAGTGAGAAGGATGGGAACTAAACGGAAGAAAACTGTAGGTGCTATTCTATTACTTGTAAATTGAAACTAAGGATATTTATAAAATATTGCCTGAAAAGGGGTTAGAAAACAATGTTGTCAACACTATTTTTCCAAGAATTTAATCTAATCTAGACATTTTGATTTAACAAGAATCTGCTTAACCAAACTTTGCCATAGCCTTTAGCACCTCCTCTGTGAAACATCTGGCAGCAAGACTGAGAATAATCAATTTTATCCTGTACCAGCTAAACACTTTCCTCCAGACATTTGGTAGGGATTAGTCAGCCAATGAAATGAAACTCAGCTTCCTGGTTGCAAAACAGCATACCCTACAGTTCCTTCCCCCTGAGACAACAGAAATGTTAACTACAGAGAGTCCATTGCTACTTTGATTAGCAAAAAATATGGTAACTTTGCTTGAGCAAGCCAGGTTGGCACCTTGGCCCTGTACTTGTAGCCAAAGAGCAGTTTGCACTATTCTCATGCAAACACAAGAAAAGCAACAGATGTGGGTTTCAGGTAGTAAACCAGAGCAGAGACAGATGCACCCACCCAGCCCTTCGCAGACAGTTTCCAGAAGCTTGGACTGGATCCTTCTGTTACTGAACACAGACCTTTATATGTAACAGATCTAAAAGATAAAAACTAGTGTGTTTCTTAAGAAGCACGTTCATTTTTCATTTTTTCAAAAAATGCAAGGACAAGAAGTCAGTTCTCTATTTTTCTAATGAATATCACGTACTGATTAGAAACTTCAGAATAAATTCTAATGAAAAACGCTAAAACTGAGCTCCCTGATTTGTTACACACCCTGAGCCTTACAATTCAGCAACATGCCATGTTTTCAGTATGTTACTTACTGGAGGACCTTTATATCCTGGTCTTCCTTTCTGTCCTTTCTGACCTCGCATTCCTTTTTGTCCCTAAAAAACACATTATTCAAAAGAAAGACCAGTTAGCACACACAAACCATTAGTGCGTCTTTTTGTGAAATACTACCCTGATCATCTACAGCATTTCCAATTTAGGAAGTGCTCTAAAACAAATAACTTGTTAGAATTCACTACCCTGAGATCTTGATGCTTTTGCCATTTTACAGAGACATTTGTGTACGTGGCCAGAACCTCAACCTGAGAATAAATGAAGACACTGTGGGAAGAATGAGGGAAATTCATATTAGGCACAGTGACAGGTAATCCATTCCTCAGAAGATACTGTGACTGGAAGTCATAAAAATAATGTTCACCTGAGGTCCTTTGTATCCTTGCTTTCCTTGCAAGCCCTCCTGCCCACGCTGTCCGCGATTGCCCTGTTTTTAAAAGACAAGAAGTTTTTATCTCGTTAGGGTTTTCTCATATGACCTAACACAAAAAGTAATACATTAGGATTTATTCTATTAAAAAACATTTTTTTTCTTTACATCTTCCTTCTATGGAAAACATATTTTCTTGTATTTACAGATTTCAAGAAAATTCCAGACGTTCTGCGTATCCAGTCAGATTTTCACATGCTGAACACTGCAGACCCCAAACGAATTATTAATTAATGCAGCAAAAACAATAACAATTTATATATAGTTATATTATGTATAGTACTCCTAAAATCATGCAGTAATGATGCACTTGAAATAAAATTTTGTATGTGGACAATATACAAGGAACTAAACATCATCTAACACTGTAATTTTTAGGAATAACTTGCTCAGCACTTCAAGCAGTGCATTCTGTTTTAGCAGGTCTACTGCTGGAAAAGATGACGCAAATAAATGAGAAATGCAGTTTTATGTATCTAGCAACACTTACGTGCAAGTTAAAAACAGCCAAAAATTGCAATTTTATCTGTGCAATGGTTGGAATATACTGCTACGGATGTTTTAGTGTAATAATATGAAGTATACACGCGCATCTACTGATGCAAAAAAGCACACCCACACCCACAGACTTCTGTGAGTTTTCACTCAGATATGTGGAAGCTAGTGTTATATATTGATGCTAATGCTTAGGGAGAAAACACAAAGAGTATTTGCAAGTAAAGCTTGTTTTCTTTAGCTGCAGAACATGTCACCATCTCATACTATTCAGAGGAAAGATTTTTAAAAATCGGTTTGCATGTCACTGCCACTCATCCAGGGAGCTTAACCTTATACCAGAGGTCTCAATACACTGAAGCAGTAAATGAGAAGCACCTCTGTTGGGGCTGGATTTCATGACATATTTCTGTTTGTTCGTTATGGTAGTTATCTGACTTGAAAGTATATAAAGAAATTTATTGAGAAATGTCCTTCACATGGCATTAAAACACAGTGCAACAGTTTGGATTTCCACGATGCTGTTCCTAGAGCATTAAGACCAGTCCTGTCTACTTTATTCATGGACAGAATACCAATGATACCAGCACAACTAGTTGTACAAAAAGATGACTAGGTTCAGGCTCCTAATCAATACAACAAAATATTTCTCAAACAGATCTATTGCAGCTACTTTGAATTCTCTTTTGCAAAATTCTTTAGAAAACTAATAAGCTTCTACATTGGACATATGGTAGATACAAGAAAAGAATAGTTCTTACCTCTGGTCCCCATTGTCCTCTTTGACCTGGTATTCCCTAAGACAAGGTAAAAAAAATTGCCTGTGAGGCACCTAGTCAGGTGTCATCTGAATGCTGTTCGAGAGTAGGTAACTTGTTCAACTATGTCGTTAAACCATTTCAGGTTGAAAGCTCAACAAATATAAAATGTATGTGAGATACTCCTAGCTTCTTACAAAATCGTATGTATTTTCTTGTCGGTACCTATGATGTGTTAATACATAGAGGCTAGAGCTAGCAGCGGTATTGATATTCATGCAGAGCTTCCAACAGTTCACCTCTGAGGCTTCCAAAAGAAACACAGAGCTGTGATTGAACTGGCTGACACTTCACTTTAAGGACGGTCTGTGGCATGATTCCAACTTTGGCCTCGAGTTACTTTCTGAATGTTGCTGAAGAAAACGTATCTTTATTTAACAACAATTACAGTGCTCCACGCACGAAATTAAATGTTGCTATGCAAAGTGCACGCAAGGTAAATGCAAAAAAGCATTCTCCTATGAAATCGAGCCCAAGAAGCTATGAATAATTTTTCATTTTCCTCAATGCACACAAGCTTCTTCAGTTAAGGAAGCTTACCGTGTTGCCCACTGCTCCTGGCAAGCCGTATGAGCCGTGCTGTCCTCTTTCACCCTGTACATGGAAAATTCAATTCAATTTAATTTAATTAGCATCATTGCAACTTCTCACTTTTTCACAGGCTTTCTGATCCATTTTTGCATGCCAAATCTGTAAGGTGACTACTTGTGGGACTTCCCCACAGCAACATTTTCTGTCAAAGTCTTTCAGTAAATAACATCTACCATCCAAAGCAATCAGGTATGCATCATTACACGGGCCTGCCTTATAGGATTGTCTAAGCACTGGCAAACACCATTTTTCTTCTCCTCAGTAGGAAGCCTGCAGGTCTGCATTAAGTGCACAGGGCTGGGGATTAGAGAGATGGCAGATTTCTGCCTTTGCTTCTAGCTTGCTCTTTGGTAGAGGACAAGTCACTTCCTTGCTCTGCAGCTCACTTTCCTCATCTGTAACGATGAGAATAATGACACAGATTCCTCGTGAGGGCGCACCCCTGTTGAAAAGTACCGCACAAGAAGTGTGTGTGTGTGTCACAGGAGGAAAGGCTCAACCAGTCTTTTCACTCCTCCGGAAGGAAGCAAGGGCTTTACGCCAGGCCATGTGAAACATGTTAACCATCAGCTCAGCACAATGGCCCTGTTGCCCTTGCAATGCCAGGTCGTCCCTAACCTTGCACTCCTTTAGCACAATTAGGGGGAGGCCAGGCCTGTAACACCTGCTAACAGTGTCAGCATAGCTCCACAGAGCTAATTAGTGTGAGCAAAGTAGCATACTAGTGAGGTAGCCCCATTTCTCACACCTCAGTGCGGGTTCCAGTGCAGCTCATTTGGAGCTCGCTCACGTATTTCACAGCAGAAAGCAAGACCACCACTGCAGTCTATCCATAATTGCATTCTTCACTCATTTGGAGATGTTTATGCTACGAAATCATATGGAGAAATGCTCTTTCACCCCCTCTATGTGTAGTGCAACTTTTAAGAACGGTAGTGACAGAGTAATTAGAAAGATAATAATAATCTATGGACCACGTCTTCCGCAGCAGTTCTCAACAGTATGTAATGAGCTCTGCTCCTCTCTATTCTTTTTTAGTTGTAGTCTGCTGTTATGAGGTTATCTAAGTGTGCAGCAGGACCACAAGGCACTGAAAGCTGCCTACATAGTAGTTGCAAAGGAGTGCCTCATGATTCGGACTGATACCCTGAGCTGCAAGCTCTTGACTCCCTGAGTAGGCCAACGGAAAGAGGTTGCCACCCTTTGAGTAAGATAAGCACTTGTAAATGGTCTGCCTAACTCTGTACATCACAATTCTCCTCTGCCTCTATAGTCATGAAACCCCAAAAGAAAGTGGCTCAGTTCAGCCTTGGGACCTGCAAATGTATTAACATAGGTTATCTGTAATATTTAACATTGATACGACTTTTACTTTTAAAGTATAATAGTAATACAAATATCAGAAATATGAGCCTATTTATATTTTGTTTTCTTTAAAATCTTTAAGTATAACTGCAGAAAGCACACAGTATTTTTAGCAATAAATAATTACTAGCAAGAAGCTAACTCTAAAGCTATCATTATTCTTGACTTAAGTCAAACTTCATAGGAAAAGCTTGTGCTATTGCTGTCCAAGCTGTATCATGCCTGTGAATGAGCAGAGGAATCGAGTCTGAGGCACTTGGACGACTAAGAGTCAAATCTTTCAGTCCACCTTCACTCAAAGTTTTCCTAAATTCAGTGAGACTATTGCATGAACATTAGTAGCAGCATTCAGCTTCGTTGTAAGGGTATGCGGAATGTGAGAGCATCCGGTTCACTATGTTATTTAGTTAAAGACTATTCAGTAAAAAAGAAACAGCAAATAACAAGAAGAGTGATAAATGAAATACACAGACATATAAACGGTAATGAGCAGGCGATAATGACAAAGACTACAACTCTTCAGTCAGTGACTGATGAGCCATTAAAGGAACTTATCAGGCATCGGCTTGTAGAGGGTCAACCTGAACTTTGTAACTGTGTAATGAATGTTGCAGAATATTTGAGGGGGCTTGTGCGATGGTTTGAAACTTATTACCAGATATCTCTCATATGAGATTATGTAAAACTTATTATGGGATGTTTGGGGAAGGCTTAAAGGCAGGGAAAGGGGAGGCTTAAGGTAGGCAGGGGAGGAACAAGCATGGGAAAAGGGAGAGGAATGGGGTTAAAAGCATATGGTTGTGTTTAACGAGGCTGTTGGCCAGTATGCTTGTCTGACTGAGCCCTGTGCCTGATCGCCATAGTCTATCCTACCTTCTTATAAAATCCTTTCCTTAACTATTTTTCTGTGAAGTTTCACTCTACCCTCTGTCAGCATGGCAAGGTTGGTACTGCTGTAAGTCCCCACAGCTGGAGAAGGAGCAGTAGGTCACAGGACCAACAGGTCTAGCAGTCAGCAATAGGAGACACCTGGGTGTGTTTATATTTCCCGAGTTAATTTAATCTTCTATGTGTGTATATGTGTACATGTAATTCACTACCAAACTTCAAGATGGACTAGCTGGTGAGTAGGAGACCACCCACATCTGGAAAGACTCAAGATCTGAGCCAGAGGATCTGAGCCAAACCTGCAAAGAGGAGCAATACCAGTGGCATCCACCAGACTGGGACAGAGAGTGGTCCCAGAATCTGCAGGATTCAGCGGCTCTACTATCACATCCTTAACATTCTTCTCTCAAAACTGGAGGATTTAAATGATTTGCCCATTGGAATCAGATCAGCTTTTTGTCATTGTCTCGTGGGCTCAATGCTTACAGTGATACTCTTTCCTCTTCAGTGATCCATCTGATCAAAGACATTTCACACCTTTGTTAGCATCACAGCTCATAAACCGTTAGTTCCCGTATCCTTGACACAGATATGTTTAAAATATTGCAGACAGCAGGGGGAATTGCGTAACTGCTGAACAGATACCATATAGAAATATCATGCATTTCTAAATCTTTACCTTTTCCCCGTCTTCTCCTTTCAAGCCTTTTGCTCCCTCTATCTCATTGTTCAGGCCAGGGTCACCCTGAAAAAAGGAAACATTTCCCAGTAAGAACGCTTATTCTTAAAAAGTCACAGCCCAATCTGAGATCTTGAAATAATTTAACGTGTTAAATAAACAAGTGAGTCCTTAGTCAATGCATATGATTACTACTAGCATTGGAAGGAGTTCTGCTTGGAGAGACCAAATCAAATTTTTTTATATGAAATCTTTAAAAGTTTCCTCAGCAAAACAATAGAGAGATTTACATATATGAAGGGTTAATAAAAAGCCTATGCATTCGACAAGCCACAGTCATTACAATATGATATGAACACCCTGGAAGAACATCTCTTTTTTGGTCCTGGTGTACAGGAGACTATTTCTAAAATTTCATGACTACCCACAAGAAGATATCAGCTCCTAGAAAATAGCGTTATATTGGAAGAAAACATACAGAATCTCCTTGAAAGCCCTTCTGACCACGACCACCACGGGGTCCTCTTGGCCCTGGAGAGCCCTGAAAGCACAACATATCTCAGTAAGAATCTGAAACAATTCTTTCACGCAGGAATTGCCAAGAGGGCATTCCCAGTCCCAACTTTGCAATCCTCAATTTTAAATACTTTCACACACAGTTTCTTCCCATTTCCATTCCAAAAACAACAACAGAAAAAAAACAGTGTGGCATCTTGGACAAGATGCAATAGAGAAACAGCACAGTGCTCTATATTTTGTTTCATATTTTGTTGGCTTTTTAACTAAAGAGTCAAGTTCAAAATACTATTTGCAACGAAACAAACATGATTCCAAATATCAAAGAACTTTGCAGAATATACTTTGAAGAGCGTAGGCTATCATACATTCCCTGTTTTAGATGTGTTGGTGCCTTATCTGTGAATGACCAGTGTCTTCTGATGGCAGAGTCAGCCCTTTGCCTCTCTGGGCACCTGTGCAAGGGCAAAAAGGCTGAGGCAGCTTCTGCTGTCCTCCAGTTTCCTCTGGCAGCAAGATAGGTACCAATCAGTTATCTGAGGGTACTATTTTCCACAAATACCTGAAACTGGGATCCAGTTGCTGCTGCTGGGAGTTCAAACTGTACATGCACAGACCTGCTGACTACCAGCCAGCCTGCGATCCTTAATAGTAGGCATTGAAATGCAGAGGCTAACCTATGTCTATCCACCTGGATTATCACATTGTTTCCCACCAAGGACTGTTTTTATTACATAGAACAAGCCCAGATGTTCAGAGTGTCTCCCAGGGTGGTTTTTTGCTTCATTTCACCATTCTAGAAATGGTCATATCATAAGTCAAAAGATAAATGGTCAACTGTCTAGCTATCTATGGAAGTTCCCACAACCCAGTATCTCTCACTGCCCTTTGAAGTCCTCAGTCACCACTCATTTCAGACCACAAGGTAACTGGGAAGGCAATAGTGTTGCCCCGTGCTTTGTGAAAAAAAGTTATGTGACCTTGGGAAAAACAGAGAACGACAAAACTCTTGTCTTACGTATGTGAACCTACAGGGGAACAACAGGACCAAAGGTAGGGTGCATTGTATCTATCTTTAGGCAAATAAAAGTTAATCGTACGGAGGAATCGCTTGAGCCCAAGACAATAAGACAGAATGCTGACCTAGAAGACTGTAGGATACAGATTTAATTATTCTTTAAGTTGTCTTCTAAATAGAGACATCCTTCAGAAGAACTTCTTTCTGGGTATACACTCTATTTAAAAATACTTGCTGGCCCTTCAGCAGTAGTTTGCTCCTCTTCAGATGCTGGAAGTCTTATAATGACCCTCCCGATGTGTGTTCAAACAAAAAATGTGCTAATAACTTGGTGATACTGAGCTACTCCTTGTGCTTGAGAGTTTATTAAATACATTGCTCACAGGGATAGTTTTACGAAACAGCCATACTATTGTTCTCATATCCAAACCCTGACCAATAAAAAATAACAATACATTACCAGATATCCAATGTCACCCTTTTCTCCTTTCTTTCCAGGAACCCCAGGAGATCCCTTAAAGATAAAATGTGGCACATTAATTCACTTCTATCACTCCATAACTTTGAGGTCAAGAAGGTAAAAGAAGGAAAATAATATACCTCTGCTCCTCTAATTCCATCAACCCCATCATCCCCTTTGTCACCCTGAAATAATAAAAATGTGCATGAATTTATGGTTAGTCTTCACACAACCAACCGCTGCGTACTTACAAAGTCCAACAAGAATGGGATCTGTGTTACCTCTTGTGGTTTTTGATCACGAGTGCAAAAACCAAACAAACAAGAAAAAACTGAATGCAGGACTTAATGCTAAAAGTTTAATTTCTCATATTTTCCCTAGGCACAACCATCAAATGGTCATTGAAGCAGACATTGGTGAAGCAGCCTAAAAAGAAGTAACACCTTGACCTTGTGCTCACTGACATCTGTGTTAAAACTCTCAGGAACTCCATTTAAAGCAGGATAAAGCCCTAAAGAATATTGCATTTACAATAATGGACTCTCTAGAGATGCAAGTCTACTAACTAACCTCTTAGAGCTCAAAGAGGTTTCCATCAGCTGAAATGACCTACGAAACAACTGACGTACAGAAAAAACACATTTGCTAATATAAAGCATATTGTAAGACTGAAACTCAAATTGTTACCTTTAAGTCATATTAATACATTTCTTGCTAATGTTACATATAAAATAAATATTTTTTCTGTAAATGAAGATAGTCATACGGTACCATTTTTCCAACAAATCCTCGAAATCCCTAAAAATAAAAGAAATGGTAAAAGTTACATCAATATATAATGAAAACATTGAGGTTTTATTTTAAGTCACAGTGAAAAAAAATTTTTAGAACTGATTTTTTAACCTTTGGACCTCTTTTGCCTGGACATCCCATGTTGCCATGTCTTCCTTGTGGTCCCGGTGGTCCTCTTGGGCCCTGAAAGAGGGAAAATAGGAATCTAATTGTTGATATTGATGTGAGGTTTACAGAAGCTGGTAGCTAATTCATCTGTGAGAGGGGTGTGGTACTGTGGTCCTGGAAAGGCTTCTTCTCAAGAAGTTTAGCCCCAGTAAAGTCTCTGGCTGACTGCGGATTAAAGAGGCTGCAACAACAGAGAAATGTATGACCACAAGACCCTCATAACTCAGTGATCTCAAATGGAAGATCAAATACATCAGCAATATCCTAGCAAATGTTTGAATATTTTGAAGTTGACATAATTTTGACTTCTTTTTAGCCATATGCATATGTCATTCTGTTACGTCACACTTACAGCCCCCAGAGCCTCCACCTGCCATTTGGATGAATCTGACTGCCATAAAAAGGCATCACCACGCCAGTGCATCTTAAATTTGAAACCGCATGCAACTGCAGAAACCTCACCGCATGTAACTTATAAGCTGTATTTGGGCCTGGCTGACAGGTTTTCCATGAAAAATTCCTTCCTGAATAGTATGATGAAAATAAAGCAAACACAATGTGATAATGCAGTCACACAGCTGCAGGCTGAGTTTGGCCTACTGCATCTTAATGTGTGAGAGAGTAAGCTATCTTCCAGAGCAATGCCTACAAATTATTTTAAATTGGCCAGTGACACCAACAGAAACAGTTACTGCATCCTCCTGAGGACTGTTTCAGCCAGTCTCTTCTCTAACGTCCATTACACTGCTATACTACTTCCTTATTTATCTTCAGTTTCCACTGTGGGTATTTGTTCACTTACCATTTTCTTAATGTGAAAGAGAAAGCATATGGACTGAAACTGTTTGCTCCTTTGACATGGAAGAAACCACAGCGCAAACAAATGTATCCATCTATCTGTGAAACGTAGTCGTACTGCTCCAAGTATGTTTCCCAGCCCCTTCCCCTTTCATCCTTTTGGTTTCAGCACCCTACTAGCATCCAAAAATATTACAACTGGTTCAGATCAAGAGGATGTGGTTTGGATGGGCATAAAAGTCCACATCTAATTTGGATACAACCAAAAATACGTAAAAATACATACCTAGATGAAAAAGCTGCCCTTGCCTGGCCAGAAGTGGCTTATTAACAGCCCCCTCTGTGGAAAATGGCTGGTTTTGCCTGACACACGGTCACTTTTTGTTCACCTATACAAGAAGCTTTTGGTTTTTCAATAAAAATTCAGGAAAAATATGAAGACAATGTAAAGAAAACAAAAAATGTATTTTGCAGATGTTTTGCACAAGAATAAAAATAAGTTTCCAAATAGCTTTGCTAAGTGGCACTTGCCTAGCCATATACGTGCATTAATCATGCAATTGTAATGAATGTCCATTACCTCCTAAGAAATGTTACTGAAATCTTTATGATCTTATCTCTGTTATATTCACATTATTTGAGGGAATTCTCATCTTGGATATGGAATAGAGGTTTGTAAGTTCATCACCCAGCTAATTTAAATGCTCTTTCTTTTTTTTTCCCTGCTGAAAAGTTTTAGTTTTCAGAAATAAAGACTTTCTAAAGTGCTATAACTTACCTCTTCTCCTTCATCTCCAAAATGTCCTGGGTTTCCATTAACACCATTGGGTCCCTGAAATTAGAAGTTAAGAGACAATGCTATAATATTTGGTTGATCTTTAGAAACTGTTGAGGAATTCTGGAATAATTAAATGGCTCAATACATTTGCTCTTTGCATCTTCCATCCCTCTGCTTATTGTGTGCTTCAAACATTGCTGAAAACTTGAACAATGAACAACTTCTTTTCTGACCAACTTTCTCCTAATATCCCCCCTAATATCACCAACAGGTTAGTTCATTGCTAATGCATTTTTTGTCCCACATTTAAATTTGAAGGTAGCCCAACACCCTGCATGCTCCAGGGTGAACAATTGCTTTTCACTGCAGGTCCCAGGAATAGCTTTTCCAATGACATAGAAATTCGCCAGCAACTAATTATGCATTTCAAGGTAACATTGAGATATATATCCACTAATGAATCTTTTAAAGAAGATAGGAAAAAAAAAAAAAAGAAGGAATCTCGTTCCAGATTCATAAACCATCATACCTAAGGGCTTATTTTGCCTTCTTATAAGGAATGCTTCACTGGTTTGGGTAGAAACATTCCTAAGTTTCACTGGTTTGTTCTGCTCCAAATAGTTTTCATCTGCTCAGAGTAAGAGTTGCTTCTTGAATGCCTTTTGTAGCAATAGCTGTCAATCAATTGTTCTTCTGTCTCTGAGGGTGAGGAATGGAGCTTCCTCACAGTGACACAAGAATGATTGCTTTAATGGATCTCCAAACAGCCTCACGTTCGTCAGTGAGGATGAGTAAGAAAATATACTTGGAATGACCAGAGACCCATAGGATAAAATACACCTTCTCATAACTGTGGAGATAAGACCCATTACTTTTGATATAAACCAGACTAAGGATTTGACTAGAAAGTCTTGTATGTTTCCTTGCAGGAGAGGAGTCTACTTTAAAAAATAAGCCACTTGCCCCAGGTAGCCTGGAAATAATTCTAATCTGAACAGTTATGGTAGAGACTTTGCAGTTTCTGTGTAGAGTCCTTCTCTGTGTAGCTCACGCAGATTTTTGAAAGATAATCTCGAAATTTCCAGATCTTTCAACCACATAAGTTACACAGTATCTTTGCGTTTCCGATTTAACACTGTTCTTTCATATTAGTTTTTATTCTAATCCAGCTATTTTTGAAGAAGCTTATTTAACCCAACCTGTAGCATTTTATAGGAGTAAAGAGTGCACTATTCACCCCGGTTTGGGATCCCTGAGGAAGAGACATACCAGTAAAAAAAGGAATTGTGGGAATAATATTTTAGAAGGCACATGGTTAATGAGAGCTGTTTTAGGAGTGATGTACTCAGCAAAGCATATCATTGCGAACCCAGTGCGGACATTTCCATTGTCCCCTAATTCCACAGAGATGAAAGCTGCATGAGAAATAGCTCTCATGGGCTTTAAGGGTCAGTACAGGCTTAATGAGTGCTCCTAACGCTTCAGGCTAAAACAAGCCTTGCTGCATAGCACAGAGGCTGAGAGCGGGCCTTCTTTCAATCTCTCATCCCGTTCCCCTGTGCAACAAAGCTTCGCGGGGCGAAAAGAAGCACAGTTTCCACTCAGCTCCTATCTGAACTCAGAGGCCTCTTTTGCAACAGGTTAATGTCTGGCGAGTGAAAATCTAGCCAGGCACTGCTGCCATTATACTGCATTCTGAGGCAGGGCTTCATGTGAGTAGCTGTTTTCTTCTGTGCACCTAAGTATGCTGCCTGACAGGAAGTGCTGACCCTGGCACAATATTTTGTGAGAGCTTTCTGGAAGGTGAGAAGCCTTCACGTATTCTCGCAGCCTCAGAGAGAAAAGGCAGCAGGAAGAGTGTCAAACCCTCCCAAGTTTCCTGCGTGTGGTCACCAACAGTGCCAAGTACCACCCTGCCAGGAGCTGCTTTGTAACTTTGTCTTTTGGAGCAGCAAAGTTTGTTCTGGTTGTGAAAAGGCTGTGACAGAGCAGTTTCTTTTATGGCAACTTATCAGGTCACAGCTGATAAGTTGAAGGAGGCTGTGGTTTGCCCTTGCAAAGCAAAACCTCAACATCTGCCCTAGCAGAGTATTAAAAGTGTTAGCAGGGCATAGCTGTCCTTCTGGAGCACCTGCAAACCTATCTGTGATATGTCTTGAACTTGGCTTGATGCTTGCAATGAGAGAGGAGCCAAGTGTGGAAGAGATACTTTGCAGGGGATGAGATGACAAGTATGAAAAGACTCAAGGGGATCCCCTCCCCTCAGCAGGATACCTCAGGAGAGGCGGAGAAGAGTTAGAGGATAAAATTAAGCTATGGATGCTCAAAAATATATCTGTTAGCTAATGCTGTATAAGCCTGAGCTGCCCATTTCTTCAGCTGTTGGGGCTGGAAAACCTGTAGCCTCCAGGAGCAGTGTTGATGGTTTCTGAAATCCTGAGGAGCAACAAGTGAGGAGCAACACCCATTGGAGGCCAATCAAGATGTGGAGCTACAGAGATTGGGAACATCAGGACTGTATTTAAGGTAATGCTTCATTCACATAAGGGACATTCTTCTTATCATATTTGCAGTCCTGATTCCTGGAAAAAGCACATTCTTCAAGTGCCCACATGAGAGAGCACAGTTTTATTTAGAATTAGTGCACACATTTGACAGCACTCTCTAAATTATTTCATAAGTTAACAAAATACATTAAACTAACGGACTAAAGTACAGTTCTCCACCACTTAGTAAATACATCAGAGTAAATGAATATAGCAAAAGTCACAGCTGTCTGATGTTTAGGAGGGCTCCACTGCATTCCTTAGCTAGAAATCTAGTTAGTCAAAAAATGTAACAGATTATTGTTAGTTTGTATGTTGTATCTATGTATCGCAAATGTCATTGTCCTAATCAATCGGGGCAATTATTATTAAATCAAAGGACAGATAGTTGTGTTTAAACTATTTTTGCTTGTTTGTATGGGTTACTTTTTAATGGCCTAGCCTGTAGCATGTCATTGAAATCAGTTGGTGCCTTTCCGTTGACTTTATCGGAAATCTTTATAACTTAAATTGAATGTAACATCCTCAAGAGATTTTGGTTCTTTGTGAAACAGATTGCTACCCTAAATTGTTCCAAGAATGCTGGAAAATGGGGCACACAAGGACTTCTTAGCTACTTCCTGATGGCTCTAAATAGACATCTCTATCTTCAAGATATGCATTCTCGGAAAAAGCAGGCAAGCTGCTAAAGCAAAACTACTGGAGCTCATAAATTATGAAATCTTCCTCAAACTCCATGCTGATCATAACTGATGGCTGACTCTTCCTCCTGCATTGTTAGGCAGAGGGCTTTATAGTGCTTTTGGAAGATTCATCAAAGTCATCTCTTAGAAGATATCTAGATGGTCATCTCCCTCCACCTGCCTTTTTCCAAAGCAGTCACTAGCAGACTGCTGAAACTGAAAGAATTGACTGACTTAGATTTAAAGTTACCTATACAAAAAAAGGAGCTAGTTGTTTTGGTTGTAAGACAAGATTTTTCCTTTGTATTTATCATTTTCTTTTATCTCAGTGACCAGCAGCCTCAAGAAGCTGGTTTGGTTTTCATCTGAACCAGTCAGTCCAGCTAAAGGGGACTATAGGAGATCTATACGCTGCTCAGTAGAGGCTCAGAAAAGAAAAATCTGCTTCAGTTATCCACAGCTCTTCCTGCTGACCTGCAAGGTCATCACATCAGGCCTTCTCAGATCTTCCCAGGCCATCCCAAAGGCAAGACCTCACTGAACAGTGATTACATTCACCAGAAGCACTGAAATCACTTGCCGAATCATTGTATGCATCTCACTCATCATTAGCTGTAGCAAAGGCAGTAAGTGCCACCTATATGCGGGGTCCCCAAAGTGTGAATTTTTCCAGGTGCAGCTAACCTGTCATTAGTTACAATTCAAAGCTATCAATACAAAGCCAGGATGCGTTCTTACCTTTATCCCTTGTTTTCCTCCATTTCCAGTTTCACCTTCCTCCCCAATACATTTGCAAGACACGGAGCAGCAGGTCCTCTCTGCAATATTGTTCTTGAAAAAAAGAAGTTACCGCAGATGAAACTATATTTTCTAAAAATATCCTCATGTGACTGGTTCTGCTCCCACTGGAAGCTTCCACCATGAGAATTACAACTGCACTTTATGCTCTATTAATAGCATAATAGAAATAATCATATTTATCAAACCTTTTAGGTACAGTCTGATTCTACAGTTCTTTAATTCAAGATCTAACTGTATAGATTGGTTCTTTATCAAATATCTTACCAAGAACTTGGACAGCCTGCTGGCAATATCAGTCATGCCAATATCTAAGTGAGTACCATATTCAAATCCTTTTCCAAACTCAATGGATCGAAGTTTCTCAAAACTGGAGGCTCCTTCCAGAACAACAGTTATAAGTCCATCCAAACCTAATCATAATAAATATGAACATAAACATCAGTTCCATGGAAAAACAGTTTCTGTATCTTACAGATCTATATGCTTCATGAAGAAGGTGAATGATACCAGTTAGGAATGCAAACTGTAAAAGCTACACTCTTAACTATTCACAATTCTGTAAGTGATTACAATGAAGTGCTAGTTACAACGAAGAGCCAGTAAAAGGCTTAACACAAAAATCTTGCTATTTGAACAGTGACTTCTAACTCAAAACCATATGGTTGATTTGGGTATCACAGAATCACAGAATCGTTTAGGTTGGTAGGGACCTCTGGAGATCATCTAGTCCAACCTCCAACATCAACAACATCAATATTCACTTAATCATGTATCAAAAAAATTTTGTTAGGAAAAACAGCAGCTTTAGGTTATACTTCTTTTTAAATTAAATATCAATTTGTGGATGAAGAAGAGATGCTGAAATTTGAGGTGACTTCAAGTTATCCTTTCATCTGCTGCAGTAATGGATCTAGAGCAGAGGTAGACTTCAGAGACATTACAGATTTGAATTCACTGTTTCTCCAACCCAGTTTTTCTGTAAGAATTCATATTTTTATATTGATCTAGAATGACAGCAGGGTGAAATTAGAGTAAGCCTGTGGCCACAAGACTGTTCCTCAGATTGCAAAGCAAAAGGCAGCAAGGTGTCCTATGCACTACAAATGTGAAGTGTTCCCCTTGAACTCAGATCAGGGAAAAGTCTATTTCCTTTTGTAAGGGAGAAAAGCACAGAGAGGCAACACTTCTGTTGAAAAATCAATTACACTAGGGTTCTAGGGTGAAACCTAAGGAAGGAGCCAAAACCACAGAGGAATATGCTAGCCATAGCAACAGGCAATACTTTTCCAGGATTTCTGGCTGGGTCCTGCATCCCTTTTATACAATTGTACAAATACTGCTAGCAATATCAGCAGACTCCAATCCAAACAAACTACATTTACTCTAATTTAAGCTCACTGAACCCAGTAGACAAACTCCTGATTCACTCCAACACAGGGGAGAGCAGTTTCTAGCTGAGTTATACCGTACAGTCCCAGCAAATGACGTTTAAAAATGAACAAACAAAAAACCCCACCCAAACCAAAGACCCTAACGTATTCTAAAACCTTAACTCAGTCCCAAATTGCAACTCACTCCTATTACCTAATCTGTTTATTGGTACAGGACAAGTGACCAATACACAATAACAATACACAGCTCCACAAGGAAAAAAATCTTTGATGCAGCTGAGCTAACCATTAGTTATACCTGTTTTCTCGTCCTTCCCATGCAGCTGCCATAGTATCAAAAGGGGTCTCATGTCCTGCCTACTGTTATTGCTCTGCAATTAACAGCGTCTTTGCTAAAAGGGCTGTTATGCTCCATTTTATGGCCTGTGCTTGTCACCCTTGTACTCTACTATAGTTCTTGCCTCTTTCCTGCTGTTCAGCACAGGTAATTTTTTGCAAGTTTGTTGTTGGGAAAAAGAGAGAGAGACAACAGACACCAGACAACAGATGTTTGTATGGGATGAACCACACGTGCACGCAAAGGGACTGGTACCAGTCGAGAAGCCCCTTGTGTCTCCCATTTGCTAGGCCTTTAAGAGACAGTTGACAGTCCGCCTTGAAAACAGCTCTTGCTGCTGGGCTGTGCAGGTTCTTTCCCTGGCATGCAAGGGAACAACCACTTGCTATGTGGGCTTCCATTTTGCAGTGTTTCTTGCATGACATGATCTGCTGTACATACCAGAAGGGCTTAGCCTATGGCAGCTTCTCCATTCCTCCTGCCGTACCCATCTGGCCCCAGGCTCTGAAATCAGCTGCTAGTACAGATATTGGAGCCTTAGGGGCAAGGCGGAAGAGAATTACTCCATCCTTCCTGTCCCCACTCCCCTGGGTTTCCGGGTGATAATAGATAGTGAGGACAGAAGATTGATCAGTGAAACACAGCAGATGAGCGTGACTTATGGATGATTCCAAATGCAGTGCAGAAACTCAGTAGATGTGAGTCAGTGAGGACTTCCCCTGTATTTGTTTCATAACCTGTTGTCAGTCTGTGGGAAAGTTAGGCATACTTTATAAAAGAGATATCATTTCACATCATGAAGTCTTTAAATAGGGTAGTCATCCCAAAGAAGCATTACTGCTTGCTTAACCCTTTTATTAAGCTATTTTCTGAAACACCCGCTACTGGCCACAGCCAAAGACAAGGACGAGGCTAGGACAACAGTCTTATCCGGTATGGTCAATCTCATATCAATGGAGCTGTTCTGATTTATACCAGCTGGGGATCTGATCCTATAACTCCTCTTATTTGCTGCCAACCTCCCTCTCCTCTTGCTGCAGAGGAAATGAAATACTTCTTCTCATCTAATTACTAGGCCTTGTGATAAATGAAGCATGTGCTCACTTCTCTAAAATAGATGATACCTTTCTTTTTAAGTTCTTCCGATTTCTGTTCAAGAGCTTCTAAGTCATCATCGACACCATCTGAAAACACAAGTAATACCTACGAAAACATTAAAGACAGAATTTAAATCACATGGAAGCAAAGAACAACAACTGTATTTCAATCTTTATTATACCATTTTTAACTAAAGTACTTTGTCTACATCATCGCATTACCTTTTGCCGAGTCTCACCCTCATTCTGAAACGTTTCCCAGAGTGACTGCAAGAACTCAACATTAAGTCGGGATGGTGTCTTGATCACAGCATCTGTTAGGTTACTTAGGATAGATTCGCTGTCAACGTGGAACTTTACAGATACAGGAGTAATGGTATTTTCCACCTTAACAGCCACACTGCTCTGTGCCTTTGACCCAGCGTTGCAGCTCACATCCCTTAGTGATAGGAGGGCTTGCAGAATCTTAGGGAGATGCTTTTCCAGTTTGGTCTGTCCATGAAATAAGTGGTGGCCTTCCCTCTGTGATGAGATGTCAAATCCCACAGTGATATCCACCAAACAAGCTGCTTCTGGGAAAATCATAAATAAATGGATTACACAATTTTCATTTCAGGCAAAGTGAAATAGGAGAAGAGAAAAAGCTGAATGAGGGCAGAACATGTGCATCACAGAATTCAGCTAACCTGGCAGGAGCATGTGGAACCACTTGCCATCTCCAAATTTCAGGTAAATTATCTAAAACAGATCTTTAGGTCTCTAATTCATTCAGATAAATGTTTAATTATTTCTGGAGATAAAAATCTGGAAACGCAAAGCATATTACATGGATAAAGTGTTCCAAAATCCCTAAATGCCTTTAATTGGAAATGTGTTACAAAATAATCATTACATAACAAATCTGAGGGTCCATTCTTCTTATATCAAGGTCAGCATCAGTTTTGGAAGTTGTTTCAGTGGATGAACTTCTTGGTTCAGCAGTTTGCATCCCTTTCTTCCCCTTATTTCCCAGCTATAAACAATTGTGCAGGTACCTATGGAAATATTGGAGGGCTGTTTGCTTTTAACATGTTGTGCTGGAAAGTTAACAAGTAACTGCTATAGTATTCTCATTACTTTAAAAGTAATGCTGTGCCTCATGTTTACGATTTGAGTTAACACCATATATCTCTCCCCTTCCTTCCTCCTCATTACCTCTTTGCCTGTGCTTCGCCTCTGTTATCTCATCCAGAACACTGCTATTAACGGTCAGAGTGGGAGACCCAGCTCCCAGTATGCATTTTAGCATAATTTCTCACTGCATGTGAGCTGACTGGAAAAGCAGGAGGGAAATGAAAGCATATGCCATCAAATGGCAAGTGCTGCCACCATACCCCTCATTTAATTAGATGTAAAGACCCTGTAGTAAGCCTGGGTCAGTGCAAGGAAAATGGGTGTTCTATGAGACAAATGTGCTTCTCGTTATTATTTGTGTTTGTCACTCAGAAAAAGAAAGCATCCATATTTAAGGACCATACTTATTGCCAGCAGTGCTGTATCTCTGCTCTGCAATAGCTGTAACTGCTTCTAACTTTCTTGAATTAGTGTGTGTCTGGTATGGCATCACAGTTGCTGTTAACCCAGAAGGAGGACCTCTTTAAAAATGCAAACGCTGTACTTTGAACGGGATAGATAGCAGTTACACACTTGAAAACTCAGAGAGATGTACCAGCAATTGTACAAACTGTCTAAAATCCTCAAGCCTGGGTTGCATAATCTCACTCAGTTCAACTTTGCAGAAGTGAGAACATTAGTACACAGATAGCTTAATGGGAAGCACAGTAGGTGTGAACTTACTTACCAAATTCACAGTAACTGTTCCTATATATCCTTTTACTCTGCCTAAAGCAGGGAAAAGGGGAACTACCTCAAGTACCAGGGAACGAAAGTGTTTGCATGGGAAGCTGCAAGGGAGCAGCCAATACGGCACAAACTGACAGGGATGGTTATTTGTTTGTCAGCTGATATCCTTTATTCTAGGAAGGGAGCAGAAAGAAAAAAGCCAGGTCATTTCTTTCCGCATGTTTACAAAGATGTAGCATGTATGTAGCTAATTTGTTCTGCATAGTTCATTTTCTTCACCCGAGCCAGAAGAATTTTACTATTCTATTTTCAGAGCAGTGCAGAAGATCAGCCAAACGCGTCCTGAACCACTCTAACTGTGAAGCATACTTAAAGCAGCACACAGAGATCTTCAAACAGTTTGGTTCAGGCATGCTTACCTTTTCTGTTATCATCTTCGCAAATAACATCAACCAGTCTTTTTTTTATGGTCCGCAAGTCAGAAAAATTATCAACGGCATACTTCCTACTTGGTGTCCCCGTTATCTGCGTTAGCTGGGAGTGATCAATGTTTCCCATGCCTATGGCATATATATCAACACCTCTCTTTCTCAGGCTTTCTGCTGCTCTAGCAGCTCTCCCAGTTGTTGGTCCAGCAGTGATTATCAGTAAAATCTGTTGGATATTTTCATATATTCTGCTACCCTTTTCTGGTTGGAAGTAGAGTTTTACTTTCTCAAGTGCATTTTCAAGATTACTTTGATGTCCTTTAATTTGTTTGATGCTTTGAATTTTAAATTCTAGGTCTGATCTGTTCAAAAACATGCCCAGGCTGAACTCTTCTTCATAGTCATTGCTGTACTGGGCAATTCCAATTTTGGTATTTTGAACAGTAACAGCTGGATCAACCACACTTTTCACAAAGTCCTTCATCATCCTGAAGTTCTCCTCATCTATGTTTCTGGAACCATCCATTAAGAAAATAATATCTGCTCGCTTAGGACAGTCTGCAGAAGATAAAGGAAAATACATTGCTAATAGAATACCGTATTCTATTGTCAGTAGAGGATAATCCTGCCTGTACCTCCCATGTCCTACTAGTCATACTGACCAAAAAAAGCCCAACAAATAGATCTATAAAAAGAAAGTTAAGTAAGTAAAATGCAATATAGATGGAAATTCAGACATCTAGGTCTAGAACACAAAATGCAGTCCTGTGAACGCCTATATCCCAGCATAACCATAGCTACATTTTCCCCTGACAGACTAATCATAGTTACATCGGCCTAAACAAACATCTACAGGACGAGGGTACACCTCATCTCAGCCTCATGCAAATGCCTAAACTGGCCATGAGACTCACGCCCCCAAAATGCCTGTTTCTGTCCACCACTCCCTATAAAGGGAAACTACAGTAACTACACGTGACAGCTACAGACAGCTAAAGCTAGGTAAGATAAATCCCAGCCTTTGTGTATAAAACACACAACCAGATTGCCTTCCAGGCTGACATGGGCATCATCAGCTCTATACAAAACTGAGATTCTTCAGCATTCACAGATGAGGTGCCTCCCTGGCTGAGAACCAAACTGCTCTCAGCATGCTTAACACAGCCCCGAAGGACCAACTTCCAAAGAAAGCACAGCAGCCATAGCATAGCTACTTTCATTCAGAAGCACAGAGGGAGGAGAAGGTAGCGGAGAAGAGTAGTCACTACAAAAGCTGAACTGAACAAGCAGGGAACAGAGATGAGTGTAATTTAAATCATGCCACTCAGAACAGATTTGTGGTGCCTGCATCACTCTGATAGATGCCTTTGCAGCAGTTTCCCTCAAATACAATTGTAGGGGAAGTGAAAGTTGAGCAGCACAACCAATAGCAAGAATGCGCTTACGTGGCGGTGAAAGATCGCATATGTCACTTGTTATATTTCCAGTTAAGTTTTCAAGTCCTTCAAATGTATCCACATAGAAACATTTGTCTTCTGATCCGGCCATTGCTAGAAGCTCGTTTCGATTTGCTCCTTCTACTCCAACTGCGTAGATGATAATTCCTTTGTTCCGCAATCTCTGGGCCACCTCACTCAGCATGTCTGTGTCATGGGATACCCCATCGGTTATCACTATCAGCACCTGGGGAATTCTTCTGCTCTTGCGGCTGCCGTGCGCCTCAGTGAAGAAGGTTTCCGAATAGATCAGTGCCTTCGCTGTGTAAGTTGATTGTCCTATCGGCTGATCGCTCTGGATAGCCTCAGTTATCTCCAGTTTTGTAGTATATTTGTTGAGATAGAAGAGTGCTTCTGGCTGATGAGAATATTTTAATGCTCCAAACTGTACTCCTTCTGGGCTGACGTCAGACTTATTCACCAAAGCAGTCATGAAGTCTTTCATGGCCTGGTACTGTGAGGAACTTATGCTTCCAGAGCTGTCTATCACAAACACAATGTCTAAACGTTCCACCCTTCTGCATGCTGTAAAAAGCCAGAAAAGGAAAGATTTCATGTGTAAAATTATGCAGAATCTTACTGATTATTGTAACTCAAGCAAAGCATATTAACTTAGATGACTTCTTGATAGCACCTTGACAATCGATATTACCAGTGATTGTGTAATACCTGATTTATCAAAAAAAAAAAAAAGAAAGAAAAGGAGCTAAGAGCTTGATTAATGCCAAAATTGCCAGTCCCCTAGAAGTTTTCAAATTGATCAAAAATCCACCAGACAAGGAAAGAAATGGACAATGATACCACCTCTCCTTCATGGTTTTGTCCTAAAACATCTTATGCAATACCGTGAATAGCTTAGTGCAGGTGAGACACCATTTGCTGCCATATGCCTCCTTCACACTTTAGGGGATAGAGTTTTACATATGAGGCTAACAATTTTCAGCAGAGTCCATGCCTTGATTCTACCGAAACTTTTGTTCTTTTTTTCTGGGGAAGATGCACCTTCTCCTGCACCCCATGAATGTAGCAGATCTCCCACCAGGATATATAGCCTCTTAGGGTCTATGTTTCAGGAAACAAAAACGGTTAGAAAGTTATCCCTGAAATCACTCACTAATATTCAAACTGAAAGCCAGCGTAAAAGAGAAGCAAATACTAGGATAATTAGCAGCTTTAGGAGAAAACTCTTAATGCCTCTAACAGTCCACATCTAGGGAACATATTTTTGACACACTATATCCTAGCTTAAGTCTCCAGAAATGGAGATACAAAAACATAAAAAAACCCAAAAAAAAGAAAAGAAAAAAAAAAGAGGAGGTACTCTAAGGAAATAGCATGAAAGCTAAAAACTCAAGCAAGTGAAAGATGAAAAGTAGAGGTGATATTTCACGCTTTATGATGCTTGTTTTGTGTATTAAGTTCAGTTAGGAGACAGAAAGAGCTTCATTCTTGTCTACAGTGTCCAGCCAAGTCCATTTTTCAGTGTATATGCAGTGTCTGTATAACTTTGCTAGAAGAGTAGCTTGCGGATAGCTGTAGATAGCTATAGTACTATTAGTAAGTTGTACATATGACAGCTTCTTATTGTTTCTGAGACTGTTCAGTACGAACTAATTAGAGCTGTTAGACTAAACTGAATGTTTGAATAGTTATTAAAAATATTACACTTTTGCTCTGGATGCTACAGCACAGCCCTTTAAAACAAACAGAAATTATGCTACTTAAGTTAATATTGTGGAAATATTTCTATTAGCTTACAACATATAACACTATTCTTCCACAAGATACCAATCAACACTCCTAAACCTCTTCCCCTGAGCCTTGCGTACAGCATTTTTTGTCAGTGCATTCTCGCATCTCGCAGGAAAAAATCCAAATGTTCATTTCACATCTGAGTTAGCCATAACAGCAAGTCTGCCTCCTAGCCTTGTAATTTATTGCTTTGAGCAAGCTGGGATGATTTCCTTCCTACAGGCTACAGCCTGGCAAGAGAACTGGCTGCTGCCTCTTAGGGCAGCATTCCCTCAGCTGCAGACATAGAGCAGCACAGATGACACCTGGTGACTCATTACCTTTCAAACTTCCGCGTTTGCACCTAATCTTTCTCACTGCATAAGCTACTGCTGCTCTTTCCAAAATGGCTGAGAAGAAAAAATGATGCTTAGCGTCTTGGTTAATTGTGGCAGAACATAAAAAACTCTCCTTAGGAGTTACCAGTTCTGTCCTGAGCTAGCGCAAAGTTATAGGTGTGTGCTGAACACTGGCTGTTTGGCCCTCTCAGGACTCTGGATCAACGGCCTTTGCATGCCTCATGCTTTGCTCTGCCTCCCATCTCCTGCTGACGAAAGGGAGTTTGGAAAGCTGGATGCTGGATAGGCGTCAGTAGTGAACTTAACAGTTAACCTCACCTCATTTTAGTGCAACTGAGTCAGAGACAATGCAGAGCTGATACGCAAATGTTTTTGAATCCTATCTATCTCATGTGTGCAAGCACACCTGACTTCTATGAGAGCCCAGAGCAGCAGCACAACATATCTACTTCTGCAGCGTGGCCCTTTTCCCCATTTACACCCTCAGCTAAAAGTAATAGCCCAAGTACAAAATAATCCAGTCCAATTAGTTGGCCAGGTCTGTAAATGTTATAAATATTGGATGCAAGCCTGGAGTCAGTGTGGTTTAGCATGACTCTGTTCATTTAACCTGCATGGGAAAAAAACAGAATTGCTTGAGATAGCTTGCTTTAAGTAGATGCTAAAGGGCTGCTATGTGCCAATGCTAGTACTGTTTGACAGAATTCTTCTAATCCACCCGGCTGGTTTTGATCAGAAAAGGCAACGTCAGGCAACGCAGAAGAATATGAAGTTGCTAGTGGGATTACAGACATACTCTTGCCAAAGTCACTGGTGTCAGCCTAACTGCCTCTGGCCCCAGAGACCTGGAGTCTGTGACTTCTGTGACTCTAATACTGTTATTCAGGAAAAAACAGCCTGAATCGTCACAAGATCCCCTTCTTGCCCCATATGAGGAGTCCACAGACGTACTAACCAAAAGGCAGATGTAGTGAGAGGACAGTAAGGCTTTAAGGAGGAAGGAGTGAGTGAAGCTTTCCCCCTTGTAAACTCTATTCCCCCCTGTAAAATGACCCCTGTTTTTCCAAGGAAGGTCTCTAATCTCACATACCCAAGGGAAGGAACCAGAGGCACCTGTGCTCAGCTAGACCTCCAGGGTATGAAGAAAGGATGGTTAGAGCCCCATGAATGATACTCTAGGAGACTTGTGAAATGCCACCCCCTGAGAGAGGGGGCAGTGGAACCAGAAAACGTGCACCAGACAAATTAATGCAAAGACAGAGAGGCAGCCAGCTCTGCAACTGCAACACTTGATCATAACGAGGTCAGAACAAAATTCCCAAATACGCTCATACATTGACAAATCACTAAAAGTTGCCATACTTACAATCAGCTTCAGGAGATCTACTGCAAATGTCAAAAATGAGGTCACTTTTTATCTGTTTTAGAATATCAAAATTTTCAACATAAAATACCATCTCACGCTTCCCACTAATCTCTTCAAGCTGAGTTTTGTTTGCGTTAAAAACTCCCACAGAGTAGATAATAATGCCTTCCTCTCGGAGTGCTGTGGCAGGGGCTTTAACTTCATCCTGTGCTTCCCCATCTGTGACCAGGATGAGAATTTTTTTAACTTGGGGACGTGAACCGCTACTAGCTTGAAAATATTTAGGCATGAACTTCAGTGCTTCTCCTGTCAAAGTATTGGCCTGAAGGGGTGATATCCTATCAATAGCACTGAAGATCTCTCTCTTGGTGGAGTAGGTGTTAAGCTGGAACTCTTCCTTTGGTTCGTGGCTGAACTGGACAACGCCAATCTGCACTCTGTCTGCACCAACATCCGTTTTGTTCACTAGCCCTCTCATGAAGCTTTTCATTTTCAGAAAATTCTCGTTTCCAATACTTGCAGAACTGTCCACTAGAAACATGATGTCCGCTTTCATTTTCTTGCAGGCTGTCAACGAAAAAAATCCTTTGAATTTAGGCTTTACATTTTTTGAGGAAAAAAGTAAACATGATAGAATAACTTCAGAACAGGAAAGAAAGAAAAAAACCCAGCATAAGCCTTTTCGAACGTCAGCTTTTAATAGTTCATTGCTACATTATGATTGTGACTAAAGTACTTTATCCCTTACATCTGAACTAGAGTAATATTAACCTTATCATTTACAACTTCGTCAGCCAGTATTAAACCCAACGGCCAAGCAACTGAAGAACAGCAAGGGATTCAGAAAATAAAAATCTAAAGCCTACTGCTGGCCAAGTTTTGAAGCCTAAGAAACCTGAACGTTTTCCCCTCACTTCAGTGAGAGAGGACACACCAACTTCGCTCAGCAACTTGTATATCTATTCTGCAGAAAGAGGTGACCCAATCAATAGAGGGCTACACATGCACAGCCTGAACACACTGGTAGGCTCCATTTAAGCACATTTTTCTGTTCATGTTTTATAGAGTTGCTAGAAATAAAATGGCTTTAAACTTTAAAACCACCTTACCTGGACTTCAATACATCTCAACTCTAGGATCTTATTTGAGAGATATGCTATACCTGTTTACGTCTGATAAAAGAGACTGGTTTGTCTGTGATAAGGAAAACTGCAGGCTCAATAGATAGCTTTAGGAAAGATATGTTCACAATTAGATACGTTCACAGGCCTAGGTGTTCAAAAGTGATCTGTGATTTGGGGTGTCTTTGACATTGCTCAGACAGAGAAGTACGATATACACGCAAGAGGTGCTTGGTGTTTTCTGGAAATAAGACCTTTTCATGGTATCTGCCAACACTTAATGTACACAGAAATCACTAGCATCCTCTGAAAACTTCAGCTGACATACTGACACTGTTCAAGCTAGAAGGAAGATATCATACGTTACTCATGAAATAAATTGTCTATCAAATCAAAAGCAATCTATTCATTTTCTATGTTCTCAGGGCAAAGCGCAAACATGGTCTTACCTTCTTTAGAACAGATCTCTCGGATAACTTCATTTTTAATGTCTCCCAGTAAGTCAAAACTGTGTACAAAGTACACCCTGTTTTCTGTTCCTGCAATCTCATAAAGCTGCGTTTTATTAGCTTCTCTTACACCAATGGCATAAATGTTAACCCGGTCTTCTCTGAGTTTCATAGCTGGTTCTTTCACACTGTCCTGTGACTCTCCGTCCGTAAGAACAACCAGGTGGCAAGGTACTGTAACTCCACGCTGCTTCCTGGCATTTTCAAACAATAGCCTCATGTAAGTTAGAGCTCCCCCTGTACTGGTATTTCCACCTATTTGCCGGACATTATCAATAGCTTTTATTAAATCACGTGTTGTCTTGTATTTATTAAGTTCAAATTCTGGTTCATTTATGTGTGAGAACTGCACAAGTCCAAATCGAACTTTATTCAGTCCTATGTTAAAGAGTCTAATCATTTCCTTCAAAAATTTCTTCATATCCAGGAAGTCCAAATAATCAAGACTCGATGAACCATCAACAAGCAAATAAATATCAGCTTCTTCTGTGTCCACGCATCCTACACCAAATGATAAATTCTCTATTACATCACTGTTGTGGGCATGAACAGAAATCTGTCTCCACTCCTTTCCTAACAGGTAAGTAAGCGGATAAACTCTCCATCTAGTAAAAAAAAAAATCTGCAAACTTACCTGCTAGGTATCTGAAGCAGGGTGGCAAGAAACAGAACATCATTTATCCATGACTATATCACTGCGTTCCCCACAGAAAACAAAACTAATAGCTTGGGGTTTTCAGCCACATCTGAAATGCTTTTACAGCAGCTACCTCCAGCAACTCCCAGACTTTTCAATAAGACTTTTATTAGCCATCAGAAGTCATCATGCATCTTTACACAGCCGTGTTAAACACTTAAGCAGTATGATTGACTTTACTATTTAATAAGGTTCCACAGACCAACTGCAGTCCACTTAATGGTCAGATAGACCACATAGGGAAAACAGACTTAGTGCTGCTAGGCACAAATCCATTGGCAATTTTAAATAAAATATTTAGGGCTACTCTGTTGGTGGTGGTGGTGGTGGTGTTACTATTATTTCCCGACTGCTGTGAAAATTTCAACCACTTCTTTTTGCCAGGACATTCACCCTAATGGCTTAAGATCTGCTAAAAAAACTATGATGTGTATATTCTCCTTTGTGTTCTAGGCTTATACAAAATAAAGGGCAGACTGACTGGAAAGTTAACATCACTACAGAAATGTCATGCACATGTAGCATCATTCAGCAGATCAGATCACAATAGTCTTCACTTAAAACCTCTTAACCTGGAGACAACCAAAGTTACGTGGAAAGCTTTACCTGTTTTGAGAATCTCTTTTCTTTCAGAGTGGACGTAGAGCTTGTTTTGTATTTGATTCAAGATCTTCTTTTGAAAAATTGTACCCTGCTTTTGCAGATCAGAAAATGCCTTGAGACCGGTAACATATTGCTCATGAGGATATGATGCAATTTGGACCAGCTCTTGGTCAGAAGCATTTTCAACACCTATGGCAAACACTGCCACGCCACTTCTCCGCAGAAGAGCAGCAACATTGCTCACATTGTCTTGAGAGAGTCTGTGGGTAACCAGAACAGCTATTTGCTCTACCCCTTGCTTCTTTCTGCTCCCAGCACTTTCAGTAAAGAGCTTTAGCCTTGTGGTATTAATAGCTGCACCAGTGTTGGCTTTTCCTGGCCCAGCAGAAAGGTCCTGTATTCTCTGCAGAATTTCAGCTTTGTGTGTGTCCGTGTTCAGAAGAGATACAACTTGTTGCTCATCGGTGTATTTCACCAGGCCAATTCTTATGCATTTCTGCTTCACATCAAAAGAGGATATTAGGTTTTGCAGGAATTTTTTTAAATCTTCAAAATTTGACTTCGAAGTACCATGATCAACTATGAACACAACATCAGCAACCAAGTCTCTATCGCATGCTGCAGTGGGAAAAGGATGAAAATAAAGCAATGTTAGTGGCCACCTTCTAGGCTCTTTCTGTAACTAACTAACTATGGTCTGTTCTGTTTTCTCAAAGACAAAGTTTTCTTCTTTATTTTAAAGTAAAATAGGTTTGTCAAAATTGGTCTTCAGCCAAAGTGACAAATTACAGAAAGACGAAAAGCCCGATTTTAAGTTAAAATAAATCATCTAACTACTTAATAAATTAAGAACAGAAATCTAGGGGATACTTCATGCAATAACGGCAGAAGTGTTTATGTCTTTTATATGAAGCATTTTCTTGTATCTTCAATTCTTTTTTATATTTTCAAGTGTGTTGATCTAGAAGACACATATGTAGTGATTTGGGTTGGATCAGGCATATTAAAATCTTCTTCAAGTAGGGATTTTTTTTTCAATTTCTTGATAACTCATCTGATACATTATAAAAAATATCCCAATAAGCAAAACAATTTTCAATACTACATGAAAAGTACAAATTTCTCAGCTGCATCATTAAGGATTGGATAATGGAGAGCTTAATAACATTCCTTTAATTCATGCTTGCAGAAGGTCTTCAAAAACTGTTCATTAATATACTAACTCTAAGGAGTCCATAGCCTCCTGAAGAGTTGTATTTCATAAACAGATACTTGTTGTATCAACTAATAATGAGTAAATGCAATGATTATTTAGAATTATACAGAGTACCTGTAAAGGATAGAAGGACTATAGCCAAAAAACAGTAATTTAAAATTCAACTAATTACTGCCGGGATGTTGTCTTCCCTGCATTCTGTCAGACAGCATATGACAACTATAACTTTTACATAAATGGTCTTTACGATAAAGTATTAAGAAATATTCTTTGGCTCATGGCTTCTGGTGCCTCACAAGTGCTTTGCAGGCACTCTGAATTAGAGATGTTTTGAGTGTTTTCCTGAGACCGTAGAGGACTGCGTTCAGCACCCTGGATGCTGACCTTCAAGCGTGTATGATCCTGCTGCAATGTAGTTCTGTTTAATTGTACTGATGAGTGGTCTGCCACTGAAAATGAATAGGCGGGAAGTATTATCTTCCCCGTTTTACAAATGGGAAAGTGAAAGCTCAGAAACTGACTGACTCCCCAAGGCCTGAGAGCTGGAGAGAAGCCTTTCATCTTGTGTCTCTTGCTCTTCTGATCTGGCTAGTGTAGGCTCACCGGGCTTCCCAGCAAACAGAAATAATAGGGGAATTCCCACTGTTGCTAAAACAACAACATCATTAGGAAGTTTATCGATTAAGGAGTGCCCTTACTGATATACTTATGAGTCCGTGGTAATCAGAAAAACAACAGAAATGCTTTCAGCACTAGAGGCAAAATTCTTGAGATGTTCACTTGTGTTTAGGTGAAGGGATGTCTGTCCATGAGCAAACAACAGCAGTTCTATTTATTTTCATGATCTTAAGAATTTTACTTATTTATTTTAATTGCCAATCTTTTTGTGTTGCTTCCATTCCAATATTTTTTGTCTGATAATGGGAGCTCAGACAGATGCCTACAACAGCTGTATGCAAAAACCCAGTGCTGATTCTAGGTTTGCCTTGCACTTATACAATTTGCTGGGGATGAGAAGGTACATGGCCAGCACGAGACTGAAGGACTAAAATGTCATTTTCTTCCATAGTACTGATTTCCCTACCTTCTACTTCAGTTGTGACCCTGTCCATTTGGAACCCTGCAATAATATTGGAGACGTTTTGAGAAAACATAGGGAGTTCCCATTCCTTAGGAAAATAATAAGAGAATGACTGCGTAGCCATCAAGCTCAGTTGTTGTTTCACAGCTTCACGTATCCCCAATGCTATTACTTTTACTCCATTGTCTTGTAACATTTTGGCGGGCTCTTCCACGTCATCATCAGAAGGCAATGAAGACAGGACCACTAAAACCTGATTTCTGTCTGTTCCATCAGCTGGTGCTTTGAAATACCTCTCATGAACCTGGCGGAGTGCCCCACCAATTTTCACTGGTCCACCCTCCAATATCTGCAGTTCTTGCATAAGCATCAGCATATCCTTCTTTGTTTTATATCTGTCTAGTTTAAATTCTTCATGCACATCATCATCGTACTGGACAAGTGCAAGGCGGTATTGGTTAGACTCCAATGGTAGATAGTGTATCAATTTGCTAATGAAGTCTCTCATGTACGGAAATGAGTAATTTTCCAGGTCTTGGTGGCCAGGAACCAACAGGACAATATCTGTAGTATCAGTTACAATATCTGTAGCTGTGAGAACATTGGGTTAATGATTTTTAACTCAGTTTTCAGATAAAATGAACACAATGTTAAGGCAATAAAGCAGCATAGTGCTCACTTAGCAGGAGTCCAAGAACAGAAATAGAATATCTGAAACAATTTCTATAACATCTACACAGCTTTTCTTTTTTTAAAGCCTTTTCACTGTTGGAACATTTGACTAATAGGGTTCTAAATAAAGGATGATGTGTACAAAACTTGAAATTCCTGCAGACTTCAAAAGAAGCTGTCACATTCATGAACCCTCAAGATCAGGCTGTAACTGTTTTGAGAAAACACTTAGGCCTTACATTTCTTTTTAAGAAAAGGATTCTTTACATTAACCCTAGTAAACAAGATGCTTTCAAGTATTCAATCTCTTTCAACTTTTGAATACTTGGAAGCAATTTCTTTTGTGCATTTTCCTTGAGTTCTAAATATCACAGGCCTGGATTCTATTCATTATATTTTATAACCCAGCACTGGAGTTCTGCTCCAGCTGGCTAACTATTCACAGATCCTTTTATACCAGTTGTTATGGAAGAGGAAACAAACAAATACATTTCTGAAAGCATGCAGCAAGGCTGCAAAATCCATCACCCAGAAGCTGACAGACCCAAAACTGCTTGTCAGCATCAGTTTTGTACACCCTATAGCAGCTCTTTCACACAAGGTGGGAAAATAGCTTTATCCTACACAAGTTTCAATCTAGATTTAGTGAAGTAACCAACAGCTAAAAAAAAAAGATTTCTTTTCTCTTGCTACTGTTCCCAAGGAGAGTGGAGGCAGCTGGATGAAAAAACTACCAAACAGCAGCACCGTAAGGTGCAGGAGCTGCACTGTCCCCAGGCAGCACCACCATGCTGGGCATCTCTGAAGATGCGACACTGAAGTGGGAGATAAGACCACTTCTCCCTTTTTCTCCTGTAACAAATCATAACCCTTCTCCTCCTTCCCTTCTTGGGGTCTTCCGGGGTGACAGACAAGCTCCTGGACAATAATGTTTAATCCACGGAATAAAACAAGATTTAGGGCTCCCTAACTGACAAATACGTTTTTTAAAAGTAATCAAAAGCTGCTCTTATCTCTGAGTAAAATCATCTAATTCCCTGCAAATGCATTCATCCTGTGGTACCCTGCTAGCGTAACCATGCAACCTATTATGTCTGAGCTAGAGACAGGTATCACAGAAGGTTTATAGGCAACCTTAAATTGAGTATTTCCTAAATCCATTTGCCTTTGTAAGCAAAATAACTCTGTTTTAGTAGCTACTTAAAAACATCCAACACGAAAATTAGGAACTGCCACAACATCTGTAAGAAGTTCCCTATACCAGCAATGCTTGGTGGAATGCTTCAGCTCAAAATTTACTCTGCCTCTCAAGAGCCTGTGGGAAGCCTGCTGTCTCTCTTACAGCTCTCACTGTGGATGTGGATATGTAAGAAACCCTACTTGCACTAAAGCTACAGTGCAGAATCTACTGCATATACCAAAAACTATAGTTTAGAGACGCCATGCAACCACTGGAAATCCAAGAAGAGTCTAAGGAGGGGAGAGAGGAGATTAAGACTACAAGCAGTCTTCCCATTTTATCTGCCACAGAGCTAATGTCTTAATCCAGCTGTATGGTAAGGAGACTACTTCAAGAATAAGCCCACATATGAAGCTGCACTCCCTCTCTTTCCTTCTCTTCCCCACCTACCTGTCTGTGTAGGCCACATGATACGCACATGACAGACTACACGCACACTACTAACCTAGTATTCAGAATCTGTTATCTAGTTGTAATCCCAGATGAAATATTTGCTAACTTATTTTGCTTTTTTAGTGGTACACAAAAGATATGAACATTTAGAAATACAGTGCAATAGAACCCAATTTTTCTGTTCAATCTTTTTTGTTATAGCGCTGAAAATGGTCATTGCGCTCTATGGCAAAGAGACTGACATGAAGTAGCACAACTTACCTTCTTGCACAGCTATGTCATGGAGATTAGTTATGTCTATTTTCATTAAGTCACTGACATTAACTTGGATAATATCAGCAATGATCTGGGGCATATTTTCTGAGAATTTAGGCAGCTCCTGTATCAGCGGATTTTTGTAATGAAATGGCTGGGTGGCCATCTCAAAAAGCTCACTGTATGGAGCTTCTTTTGTCCCAATAGCTATTATCTTTACTCCAAGACTCTGTAAATACATGGAAGCTTCTTTTATATCATCTTCTGAAGGTGCTGATGTCAAAATCACAATGATTTGTTGCCTTTCTTTTCTACCAGCTGACTCTTTGAAAAACATCTCATAAGCTTTTTGGAGGGCGGTTCCAGTTTGCACTGAACTCCCCCCAGTGAATGTAAAGTTCTTCTTGATATGGTTCACCATAGAGCTCTTTGTTCCATAAGTGTCCAGCATAAATTCAAAGGAGACGTTGTCACTGTACTGAGCAAGTGCTAGCCGAAATTGTTTAGGCCCTATTGGTAGGCTGTTGATCATTTGGATCATAAATTCTTTCACATACGGGAGAGAGGAATTTTCCATAGCTTCAGAGCTGTCAACTAAGAGGACGATATCTGCAGGGACTGAAACACAGAGAATTTACTTTAGTACATTGTGCTCCTCTTCTAGAGTCATAATATAGTCTGCCACTGCAACTGATAGGAAATGAGACTATGAAAACATCATTCTACACCTCAGCTAAATTTGGTAGTGACCACATAGATAGCAAAATGGATGCATGCACCTAGGGAAATCTCCGTAGTTAACTGTGTGGGCAATTAACTAGATATTAACCAGAATTAACCAGATATTCCAGCGCATCTAGTTTCACTTAGCGACCCCACAACAGACAAACGAAGGAGAGGAGGATTAAGATATAACTGCCACCTTGCTGCTCGGCCCACTTATGCCTAAGTCAGGCTCTCTCTGGCACAATAGCATTATGCAGGTAAAGCTTTCAAAGACTTTGGAAAGAATTCACTTTTTGGCGAAATACACAGAGGCCCCGGCCAGCACAGCAGAGACCCAGCAATCTTGCTTTGCTCCCTCTGTGCTTCGAGGTAGACTGCCAGCATGGGAAGTTCAGCAAAAAGGGCTGCAGCGGTGTGTTACACACAGCCCCGGAGCCCTGTAGGGGGGTGACTGGGAGCTATGCCATTCCCTGGCATGCCTGTGGGCAAGGGCTGCTAGGTGGGGACACGGCCAGGGCCCCCATCCTGCAGCCCGTCCCCCCGGGAAGGCCATGCTCTGGGAAACAGCCACCCTCACCTCACCTCACACCTCAAACCCTACCTCTCCCTTCACTTCACCACTCCTTTCACGCCACCCCACACCTCGCTTCACCCTTCTCCCCTCCCCTCACACCTCTCACACCGCACCTCAGCTCCGACCTCTCGGCTCACCTCACTTCACATCACACCTGACACCTCACCTCATGGCTCACGCTGCACCACACACCACATCCCTCACACCTCACCTCATATCTCATCCACTTACCTCGCTTTACCTTTCCTCTCCCTTTACTTCATCTCACCCCGCAAACCTCGCCTCTTCCCTCCCCTCACCTCACACCTCCCCTCACACCTCTTACCCCTCACCTCCCACCTCACCCCCTACCACTCACTTCACACCTCACCTCACACACCTCACCCCTCACCCCTCACCACCCCCTCCAACAACCTCTCCAGACCCTTATGGGAGCCAGGAGACCCCCACCCGGGTTTGATGGAGAGCAAGACTGGCCCCTCCAAGGCCCAGGCCCTCATGGGCCAGCCCTGCCCACCTGAGTTCAGCTCCACGTGCCACAGCACAGGGCTGTGCAGCTGGTAACAAGAGAGCTCCTTGTGGAGCTGTGTGCCCCTGTGCGGGGGGCTGTGTCGCACAAGGCCTTCGAGGTTATCTTTCCTCTATTGCCTCATGAAAAGCTAGACCCTCAGACACATCTTATATATACCTTTGCTTTGAGCGATAGCCCCACCTCGAACCCCTGCCGAGACTCTCCCACCTCCTGTGGCTCCCACCACTCTTTTGCCATCCTCCTAACTCAGTTTCAGCTGAGAGTTAGGAGTTTTCTTAAGCTTTGGATTGGTATTTAATGCAAAAATGGCAAGTACTGCTTTTTTCCCCATTAACAATTACATGTAAAAAGACATAATAAAATACCAAAGTCCTGGGGCACCGATGTGTGGGTCCCACCGAGAAGGAAGAACAAAGCCAGCAGCATCTTCATCTCAAGGCAGAGTCCCCCGAGCATCTCTTCTGAGGGAGGTTAAAAAGGCCGTAGTCAGGAAGCTGAAGAAACTATTTTTATTGTGTCTCTGAATCAGGCAAAAGACAGAATTAATGGCCCTTGCATATGACATCCTCAACTTCTCCCCCTTGGTTCTCATGTGAGACTTCAACCACCCTGATATCTGCTGGAGAGATAACACAGCAAGGCACAAACAGTCAAAGAGGTTCCTGCAGAGCACTGAGGAAAACTTTTTGACATAGGTGGTAGAGCAGACAGCAAGGAGAAGTGTGCTGCTGGACCTGATACTAACAAACAAAGAAGGTCTAGTTGGAGATGTGAAGGTTGGGGGCAGCCTTGGCTGCAGTGACCATGAGATAGTGGAGTTGAGGATCCTGAAAGGAGGAAGCAGGGCAATGAGTAGGACTGCAATGCTGGACTTCAGGAGAGCTAACTTTGGCCTCTTCAGGGACCTACTTGGAGGAATCCCGTGGGGATTAGGGTTAGGGCCCTAGAAGGAAGAAGGGTCCAAGAGAGCTGGTTAATATTCAAGCATCACCTCCTCCAGGCTCAAGATCGGTGCATCCCTCCGAGCAAGAAGTCAAGTAAAAGGGGCAGGAGACCTGCATGGATGAGCAAGGAACTGCTGGCAAAACTCCAACAGAAGAAGGAAGTCTACAGAATGTGGAAAAGGGGACAGGCCACTTGGGAGGAATACAGGGACGTTGTCAGAGTGTGCAGGGATG